CAAACTGTCAAATATTTATTGCATTTATTATATTTTACCTTGAGTCATGAAAGTTTTTAATCCAACATTTTTCATTATTTTTTTTTACAATATTATATAATACAATTATCTTCTTTTGTTAAAAATTTATATTATAAAATAAATTATATTAATATTGTGCTATTAGATTATATTTTCAAAATACTATTTATTATACATGCATTTTTTTAAATAGCGATTTATTTTTATTTTAAATTAAATTGTAAATTAAATACTATATATTATATTCTCAAAATATTTTCCATTTTTATAAATTAAATATTAGTTTTATTTTTTTTAAATGCAATATAAAATATAGTATATGCTCAAAATATTATTACCATTTTTATGAATATTAGTTTTATTTTTATAAATATGCAATATAAAATATAGTATATGCTCAAAATATCCATTTTTATAAATAACAGTTTTATAACTTTTATAAATTCAATATAATATTCTCAAAATATTAGCTTCTTACATGTATTTTTTAAATAATAAGCGATAATACTCGCTGAAAAATATGGTAAAATACATCATAGGTGAATTTTTGTATATACCAGGTCGAATATAATTTTAAAAAATTCCCCGAACCGTAAAAATTTTTTAAAAAAATATCCGGGCCGGGCCTAAAAAATTTAAAACCGGGCCGGGCCGTCCAAATGGTGCCTCTGCAGGTCTCTGATAATAATAAAACAAATATATTTTAATAATAATAACCAAATTTTAGAATAAAAACGCTAATTGCATCATAAAAAAAACTAAGGCGAAATATTTGAATAATAATAAAATTAAACTATTTAATAACCACAATTGCGACACCCCTCCCTTAGCTTGATCATTCATGTTTCCGAGCGGTCTAAACAGGATTCTCCTTCGACTACTCTTCATCTTGCCTAGCCAATAACAAGCTATTTTTCCCTGCTCCCAATGTCACAGGACAACATATTATGACATGATTTTCTCCAGATGTCCAACAAGATAGCTTAGTCACTTTTCGCCTAGTATCCCAGTTCTGCCCCTTTTCACTATCTATTTGGGTGTCTCTATTTAGGGCTATCTTCTATCATCTCTCTATATCGTTGATGCGCTTCTTTCCTGGCCGCCTCCCGCCACTTTCTTGATTCAGCTGATCCGTCTAACTCGCTCATCTCCATCTTAATTTTTGTATGAAGTATGACACCATCTAAAAATATAATTAACATGCATATATTTATCCCTCCATATCTCTATTTTCTTCATTCGCTTATCGATCCTTCGTTGTTAAAAAAACAACCATTTGTAATCATTATAAATCTCGTACACACTTGTTACAAACAACTCTTTATAATCATTACAACTTCACATACGTTGTTAAAAAACTGAAATATCATAAATTTCCTTTTATAAACCTATATTTCCCCCATTTAATTTGACCATCAAACAACAGTATCCAAACCAGGCTTCATCTTTTAAACATATAGGCTCTTTCTGCTTTACTCCTTCTTTCAAGAAATATAATTCAATCTTGTCTTTCTTCCTAAAAATACCTCTGCTAGAGATCTTCCTTTAGACGTCTTAGAGTTGTTGTATGATAATATGGATATTGTTTAATGCTCCATTTAAATGGGCGGATAGAAAAGAAGCGCATCAACGATATGGAGAAATGATGGAAGATAACCCTCAAAAGAGACACCCAAGTAGAGACAGTGGAACGGGGCAGAACTGCTATACCAGATGAAAAATGACTAAGATATTAGTTTTTTTTAAACTTTTATAAAAGTTAAATAGCTTTTTATATTTAAGAAAGATTTGCATAAGTGAAAAACTATTTTTATGATTATAATTTTATAGTTTGATGCAAAAGAAATTATTATATAAAGAGACAAAAAATTATAATCCATTGGAAATTTTATTATATTCTATCAATTTAAATTTTTATCATATTAAAGCAATTTTCGATCCTTTTCCACGATTCAAAAAACATAATTTATTAAACATAACTTATAATCACCTTTGAAATATAATTTTAACTAGCTACAATTTTAACGTAACTTGTAGCGGCATCTAGTTACTTGTCAGAGGTAAAATTTTGCTAAGTTTCCTTGATTACGCCAATGAACTGCACTATTAAAATCTCGGGGGGGGGGGGGTACTAGGCGGGCACCGCGATAGAGTCAACATTATTTAGTAAGTATCGATTTTTTAAATGAATTATTTTATATTTTAGTCTGCAGGAGACAAAATGACAAAATGAAATTTTCCGACTCGATTCAACCCCAAATTTTTTTTAACAACATAACTTAAGTTTTGTTGAAATAAAAATCACTAATTGCTTTATCCTTATCTTAGAGAAACATTATTTTAATAAAAGAATGGAAAAGATTTTTTTTCTAGCCCAAATCCGCCCCTGTTTTTAAAAAAGATCTGAACTCAGCCTGATTTGTTTTAAAGATTTTAGTTTAATTATATGCTAAAATAGCCTTTGAAAGTCTATAAAAAACCATAAAATTATCACTAACAACAAAACGGTTTAATTTTAATTCGATGAAGAAGGCGACGCGATAAAATATTACTTTTTATAAAATATAATCTTTTTTTTATGATGCTATTTTAAAAGATTACTAATATAAATATAATTTTTGTAATGATAATTTTTAATATGTTAAAAATTTACGTGATACGTGATATATAGCGCATCGCCCTCTAACGTTGAATACATAACAGAGCTACGCTAGGTTTTCCTCATTTCCATCTAATTGGAACAATTTAATTTGGGTATAAAAGTAAAAATATGAGGAGCCCTCCACACGTTTGTGGGCAAGCCGCACGTACTTGTAGGCACAACATTTCGAAAAATGTTGCTTAAACCTCTATAGGCTTTAATTTAAAAGGAGTGGGACAAAGAAAACCCATATACCCGAGAACTACAGTATAATTTAATTACTTTAAAGGTGGGTGATGGCTGATTTTAAGCTTAATTTCTTTAGTGTAAGTTATAATTACTATCAATATTGAGATATAATGTTCATAGAATCTGTAAATAAATATGATTAAAATAAAATAATATTTACCTTTCTACCACTTCAAATTTTCCACCGGAAGTGAAACAAATTCACCACGTTTTAATATCAATCATTATTTTTCATTATTATGTTTTGATACCACGTTCTACCACTTCAAATTTTCCACCGGAAGTGAAACCTGTTAAAAATTTATCTCGCCTTATGCACGTTCTGGCTACAAAAAAATGAACGTGTATGCTATATATTTAGAATTTATTATTTGAATTGATCAGAATCTATTTGGCATATTATTAAGTTTTTGTTCTCAACATTTTTTGTTATAACCTGTCATTTTAAATTATATGTAGTATAACTAGCAGGGGTTCCTGTCAAGAATAGCCTTGTTATATTGTATTCCCTGTTTTACTGATAATAATGGTTAAATGCCTCATTTTAAGAAATGTTTATGCAACGATACCTGTCTATTTGTTTTCACAGCAGAGGAAGAGGGGGTGGGCAAAAAATTTAATTTAATTTTAAAAAATTGCCATACTTAGGCTCAATCTTGTGACCTTAAATGTAGAAGACTAACGACACTTGTTAGCTTTGAGATAATATGTTCTTAAATATTACAATCGATATGTACTCCATTTTTAAGATTCGTAAAGACTATTAATCTCCCCTCTGGCTTCCAAATTTACCTTTAACTACCTTACTACCATCCTATAGGTCATGTACCGAAACCGAGTCTTTTTTTAAGATCGCATTTCAATCCGGATTATATTATGACCTTTACCACAAAACGACTGATTTTAATACAGTGTTTTCAGAATAAACTTTTTTTCTCTGATATTTTTATTATCGCATAAATATTATAAAATACGCATCCAGCCTCTCCCTATCAATCTCATAATTATTTTTTGAACTCTTTCTTTCGATTCATAAATTATTTAAAAACTGCTATCTATATATCCTAATTTATAATATCTTTTTTAAAAAAATTTTCTTCTTTGGTCAATATTTTTCACATTTGTCCCTTTTATTCTATAATAAAATCTAGTTTAGTTGAGCGCTGCGTAGTGAGAATGGCTTAAAATTGGACCAAATTTCTTTTGATTTTGAAGAAATATGAGTGAAGGGGGGGGGGGGCTATACACGCGTAGCTTTTATTTATGCTAATTTGACAAAGGCTTGAAATTTTATTTTTTGAGTCATTTATTAATTTAAATTAAATATATTATTTATTACTAGTAGTATTGAGGAAAAATAAATTCATAAATGAATTTGTGGTCCAGCGAAAAAAATTATTTTCTTTTTTTTCTCCAAACCGATAAAAACAAACGCCCTTTTCAAAAAAAATTATTATTTCATTTTTATTAAAATTTATCGATTTTGTTTTTCTTTAAAAAATTTATTTTTTGCTATTATATTATAATGTATTATTATTTTTTAAACTTATTATTCGAGTGCCGAAGGATTCGATTTTAAAACACGAAGAAAATGTCACTGGAAAATAATACCAGAAACATGCAGGCCCTGCCTTAAGCCTGGTCCTGCCCGTAATTTTTTTAAATATATCTGGGCTGGGCCGGAAATTTTTTTTAAAAAATAAGCGGGCCTGGCCGTGTCAAAAAAATTTTTGAAAAAAAAATCTTTTTAAAAAAAATCCCGCCGAAAATTTAAAAAAAAAACCGGGCCTGACCGTGGTAATGGTACCGCAGGTTTCTATATACCCCAATATTAAAAAAAAATTAAACGCTTTAAAAAGCTTATTTTAAAACTACCCTCCTTTTAAGGCATTTAAACAAATTTCTAAAATTATTTATAATTTTGTCCAAAGTATTTCAGTTCATGATTGGGATACCACCAAAAAGGAGGGGAGTAAACAAGCCCCATTGGGGAACCTCTGGAATAGAAAATTAAAGGAAGAAAGATTTAGAATTATTAATAGTTTTTATTGGCACAAAATTAATAATGTGTTTTATATTTTGATTTTAGGCTATCTTCTCTTCAAAGATTTCTGCCAAAACGTGTACGAAGAACAAGTCCCTCAACTCGAATTTTACGAAGAAGTTTATTATTTTTTAAACTTTTTTTACAAGCTTGTTTCGAAAGAACCCTTATTATATATGATAGTATTAAAGCCCTACATTAGCCGAATTTTTTAAGTCCGTCACGAGATTTAAATACATAGATGAAGTTTAGGCAAGTATATAGATTGGACTTGATATATATTTTTTTATTCCAGATACGGATGTATTAATTTGATATCTTTTGATAATGTGATCATTAACTATTATAATAATAATATTCTTATAATACTTTCTATTCCATGCTTTATTTTAAAACAATTATTTTTTATTTTTCATCTCTTCCTGCTGTTTTCTTTCTTTTCACATCTTTCTTTTAATTTCGTCTGCTTTTTGGTGATGTTGGTAATGAATATGATTATGAATCACGCCACATGCTTATAAATTTGTATAAAAAATTATTTTAATTAAAAAATTTGTTTCCTAACAATTGATATTTATTATTCCTTGATATTAAGATCAAAAAGTATCAAAAACTCGAAACCCACGATGAAAGATTGAAATACGCCAAAGATTTATACGATAATTACATAATGAAGGAATTACTCAATACTTCCCACGTTTATGATTAATAAATAAGATACTTTACATTATTAGTATATAATGAAATTATACCAATTACTATAATATCAAAATTTTTTAAATCTTATATCTTTTTGTCAGATAATCATCAGTTCGTTTATTTAACATATCAAATCAGATTCTAAATCTTATCTTTGGCATAATTGAAATTGCTTTCTACTTTTATAAAAATAATTTAATGTATTCCTTATATTTATGGTTAATTATTCCAAAATAATAGATATTGTTATTTTTTGAACTAGCTTACTTATAGTGATAAGCTTTTTGATATAATAGATCTTATTTTTGATCAATTCTTTTCTAATTCTCTCCCCCCCCCTCCCTGTGATAACAAGAATTCAAACTTTAAACCAACTCTTCAGATAAAATAGATACTGATTTATTTTTTCAATTGGCAATGGTTAGTTTATTTGGTTGATAAGAGGCATTTTTTTAATTTCTAAATTTTTAGGCCTTAGTAGCTAACTTACCCCCTCCCCGCTTTTGCTTTGTTAGGCTAAGAGAAGTTTCGGAATTTTGATCACATTTCGACTCTTTGGAATCGGCAGATTCAAAAAAATATAATTTTTCCGTACCGTTAAAAAGTAATTTACATTACTACATTCTGCGATTAAAAAGTGAGCTATAATGTCCTCTCTTATAGGTTCTAATTACATTATATAAAGATTTCTTGGATTGTCATTTACATTATTATTTGATTATACAATGTTATCTTGAATGAAAAAAAAATACTGTTTTAAAAAATACAGAAATTTTCGACTGACACATTAAAACGAGTGCAATCCATACTTATCAGAAATTTGGTCCCGGCCGATCTATTCGAAGTAACCTAATTTTATTTCTCCCCCTTCCTAGCATATTTTTTTTTATCGATAAGATATGTTTTTTAAAAAAATAAATAATTATTACTTTCTATTATATCATTTGTATCCGAACTTTAAGTTATCGTTTGAGAGTCCTATTTTGAATCCTACTACCGGTAAACATAATTTAATCGATCCGAAAGCATGGGGGAAATTTTATTTTAGCCCCGACGTATCTCCATTTTTTTTAATATTAGATTTAAGTAAAAATTTTATCTTGAAATTTTTGTTAGATTTAGTAAAATTCATCTTGAAACTTATATATAAATCTAAGAAAGTATTTTAAAACTGAACCGATTCAGTTAAAAATTTGATTCATAAATCTTTTTTAAAAAAATAGAAATGTTTTAAATCTGTTTCGGTCCAAAGCCGATTTACTTATAAGCAATAATGTACTCCTAAGTTTTTTGTTATACAATTATATCTTAATCAATGACGTTTAAACTGATGATTATTCATTAAAATCCATTTTGATCCGTAATTTTTTTTTTACGAATTAATAAAACTGAATTGTTTTAAAAAAAGTTTTCATAAAATTCTAAATGTCAATTATTTTATATGGGAAATCAAAATGGCATGTCATCAGCTGATTTATATAGATAAATGAATTAATCAACGGCCTAGGTTAGCATTATATGTTATTGATTAATACATTAAACCTGGGTTCATAATAAAATTCGATCCGCATTATTTAACAGCTGATCGATTTTAAAAATCTGTTTATGAGATCAATTTTTTTTATTAAATTAATTTTATTTTTAATTCTATTCATTATAATAATTATTGATTTTAATAAAGAATTGATCTCATTAAAGGATTTTAAAATTGCTCAGCTGTTAGGATCTGATCCCATTATGAATCTAGCCTAAGGTTTAAGTTTTTATCTAAGCATAATATGATTAGATTTCTTTCCGACATTTTTAAATGTACAAAATTTTTTATCGCAACGAAAGAAATTTGAAATGGCCAATATTTTGTTTCATAAAAAAATATCGTATGAATTTTTGAAGAGTGAAAAAAAAAGTTAAGCATGATTTATGGCATTTTGATAAATCGCTCATATAATATTTTGATATTTGTTTTTGTGTTTTTTTTGGCTTCAAAAATTCTATTATCTTGTCCGTCACTTTTCAATACAGGATATATATATATAAATTAATTTATATTTTTTTTAATACCGAATACTTTTATTAAAATGAATAAAATTTTATCTTGCCTTATCCCCGAAAATAATTAATTAAATTTAATATAAGAAATTAACCTATCCTTTAAAAAAAGTAACTATAAGGCTGCGTCCTTAATTTTTGTTCTTAATTCTGAATAAAGCAATCTTTTTCAGCTAGGGGGGTGAGTCCTTGTTCGACCAATCTTTTTCAGCTAGGGGGGTGAGTCCTTGTTCGACATATTGGGAAAAATATGAAATAACAATGCCACCAAACTCTTAAAGCAAATCAAAATGAATGTCCTAATTTAAAAGCTGTTTAGCCTAGGCTAAACAAATATCAAAAATCGCGGACACCTTTTTTGTAGTAGTATTTAAAATAAAAAGTGTTTTTTTTTTAAAAAGATGGATATAGACAGATTTTGATGAAAAGAATTTTATTGAGAATTTCTTACCATTTGTCGCGATTATACTTAAGTAGAAGCTTTCACTTCCCGCTCGATTTTAGACTCGGACCGGACCAAAAAGTGTTTTTTTACAAATGGATATTTTATTTAAGTTTAACTTACATTTACATACACCTTAATATCACCTTTTATTTTATATAAATAATAAAAAAAACTCGCGTATCTTTTAAAGCCTTACATCGAAGAAATACACCAATCTTTGTGCAGCGATATATTCCAACGATTTTTAGAAAGGTTTGTATATTTATTTTTTTGAATCCCATAAAATATCTAATTATACTTTATAATAAAACTAATCTATAAAAAAAAATATGTTGCCTAGTATCTTTTAATCGCAAATTTTTCTTTAGAGAAACACAAAAATTGTCGAATTTTATTATTTGCACCAAGTCATTACCAATTATTTTTTTTTATAACAACGATCCATGAATTATTAAATTATTATGGATATATCTTTAATATATAAAAACATAAATAATATTACTACGTGGCAGCGAAAAGTTTACCCGTTTTTGCCAATGGAAAAATTTAGAACTCAACATACAGGTTCACCTAATTTTTTTTATTTAAAAGAATATAATAGAATTAGACTCTCATTCATTCTATTAAACTAATAAATATCCACCTTATCACCCATTTACTCAAAAGTTAACGATGAACGATTTCAGCGTGCATCGCATAATAGGCAGAGGAGGCTTTGGTGAGGTATACGGTTGCAGGAAAGCCGATACCGGAAAAATGTATATAAAAAATATATAATAATTATTTATATATATTTGGCACTGAATCGGAGATGTAGCAGGCACTCTCCCGTAGTGCGATGGGGGTGGTTGGAGGAGTAAGCCGATTTTTTTTACAGAAAAGGATTCAAGAGGTGTCCGCATATGGGGAGTAGTCCTAGTTTATGTTTATATGTGGGGGACTAAGATTTTTTCGCTATGCCTCTGGATTTAATACTTGTAGTTATTATTAAGATGTTTAAATGTTAAGGCTTTATGGACAAATAAGAAAAGTTAGGTTATATATAATAATAGTGTATACTAAAGATAAGGTCACAGTGTCTAAGAACTTTAAATGATTATATTTTCTTTCTTTTACTTTATTTTATCATTTCATTATTTTTTTAAAAAAAGCTAAATTCTATGTGAGATAATTCATATTTTTTTTCATATTTGGAATCTTATTTATAATAATTTTACGATTAAGGTATGCCATGAAATGCCTCGATAAAAAAAGGATCAAAATGAAACAAGGAGAAACGCTGGCTCTGAATGAAAGAATTATGCTTTCATTAGTCAGCACTGGGGTATGCCTAATGTTAACTAAATATTTAACTTCTACTATTTTTGCCCGGCGCTCACCTTTTTAAACAAATATTTTTGTCCCAGCTTGAGTTAATTTTTATTTATGGGTTATATTTTTTTTAAATCTCGACCCTGCAGGTCTCTGCCTTAAATTTTTTTCTGTAATAGTTGCTTTTATTTTTGTTCCACGGAGAAATTAATGGCATTACTTTTTTCGAAGATATTTTACAGTATAAATTATCTATGATATCTAATATGATTATTATTTAGCAACAATGCCCCTTTATAGTGTGTATGACTTACGCCTTTCAAACTCCCGACAAATTATCATTCATACTGGATCTCATGAACGGTTAGAATATTAGAACAGTTTATTTGTTAAGATATTTGAATTGGACGAGAAAAGAAAGATCGATAATTTAATTAATTAAATAAATAAAGGTAAATTCCATAAAGGACAACAAATAATAGAATTTGATATTATTTATTTCACGCGTGTAGAATTAATCACAAACACCAATATTAGTGTTCAATATTAGTGTTTGACATGTTATTTGAGAAAGTGTTAGAGAAACGGATAAGGGAACAAACTAAAATTGGTTTTACACCTGGGAAAGACACAACATAGGCAATTTTGTGGTAAAACAAACATAGGAAAAATATCTTGCATGAGGAAAGAATCTATATTATACGTTTGCTGACGATAAGGCGTTCATGGTTCCGCACGAGGTTAATAGTTGGGCCTTGAGAAATTTAGGTTTAATGGCAATATATGCAGGAGCAAAACAGTGATCCAGACGGATGATGGAAATAGTAAAAGCTTTGAAGTGGAGTTAGGGCTGCATCAAGGATCCATGCTGAGTCCATTATTATTAATTTTAGTAATGGACATGGTAGAGAGATGCGTGAAGGACTTTAATTGGACCTATTATATGCTGATGGCCTTGTATAAATAAATCACCGTGGTAGAATTGTGAGATAAAATTATTGATGGAAGATGTCTGTGGAAGCAAAGGGTCTCAAAATGAATGTGGAAAAGACAAAGGTGATCATATGTGGGGACACTCTGCATGTGGAGGAATCCGGAAACTGGCCGTGTAATGTATACGGAAAAGGCTAGAATTTAATCCAATGTACCAAATGCCAGAATGGGTGCAACAAAACATGTAATGAGGAAAAGGGAAGTCTGATGATAACTAGCGGGACTTTAAAGTTGAAAAAACGGAGAAGTTTAGATGGATGTGTGGGGTATCTTCGAGAGAGAGAGAAACAGGCAAGGAATTACGATCAAGGATGGGAATAGAAGCGATTGCAGTGGTAATGAGAAGAAATAGACTGAGGTGTTTGGGCATGTATAGCAAAAAAAAAAGGTGGCTGAGTAAAGAGATGCCTTGATGGAAGTTAGAGGGCCAAGACCTCGAGAAAAGCCCAAGATGACGTGGATACAGTGATAACGGAGAGTATAAGAAAAATGGATCTCACAAATAGGGTTCTCAGGACGCCAAAAATGGGGAAGGGGAAAGTGGCTTACTCGGGTAAACTGGAAGCAGCCATTAAACGGCGAAGAAAAAGATATTAATACGCTTTTTGCATCATCCCCAAGGTCTTCAATATCAATTCGATAAGAAAATTATTTCCATCTTAATTTTTCTTGCTTCCTATTTCGACGCTTTCCCTAATTAAATCTTTTAAATAAAATTTTTTCTCAGTGATAAGTTAGTTGCTAAAGTTAATAAGATGATTTGGTTTTTTTGTTTAGTAGATTTCACTCATCTATATTTTTGTAAAATCAAAATTCAGTATTAATTAAACTATTGATTCATTTTTTTAAATTTATCAATTTCTTTTTTTATAAATAACGCTCTAATAAACTTTACAAAAATTAGGTGGTGATTTACATTACCATTTATCTCAACACGGGATATTTAGCGAAGAAGAAATGAGATTTTACGCCTCCGAAATCATATTAGGACTCGAACATATGCATAACCGATTCGTCGTTTACAGGGATCTCAAAGTTTTAACTTTTTTCTTTCTTTTTATATTTTTTTTTAAAAAAATATTTATTTCCTCCATTTTTTCCTACTGTTGGACCTTGTCGGACACATCATTTAGATTTTATTATGCGAATATTAACTCGTGATATTGTTAGTTATATCTAGCTAACCATCGTAAATTATATGATAAATTTAGGAGTTTGAAAAAATTTCTATTTCGTATGATAAAATTTCTAATACAACGATATCTGGACAATTATAATTTATCATAATTTATGTTAAACAATACCACCTAAGGTAAAATGCACTTTTTTAAACCAAAATATATTGTAAATTTGTTTAATATTATATTTCCTAATAATTCCATTTTATATTAAATTACGTTTTTTAAAAAAATTCTTTTTAGCCCGCCAATATATTACTTGATGAAAATGGTCACGTTCGAATTTCGGATCTGGGGTTGGCTTGCGATTTCTCCAAGAAAAAACCTCACGCCTCGGTGTAAGGGAAAGAAAAGAAGATTTTTATTTGACTTTATTCATTTTTTAAGCTCACTTATTATTACCACCCCTCCCCTCAGTAATTAATATAATTAGCGGTTAAGTTTGCGATTATTGCTTAACCACATACATTCAATTAGTAAATCATTTATTTAATCATTCCTCAAGATCTAATGTGGGTTAGTATATATGAGATAGGAAAAGAATAATGCTAAATTTCAAAATCTTTTAAATAAAAAAAAATTACTTCTTCTGATTTTTTCATTCACAATACATAATATAGATATTGGCTAGGGTTTGGTTTATATATAAACAAATATTTATTAAATCACGTCTAAAATAATTTCTTTAGATCGAGCATGTTGTAACAATAATCTAAGTTTAGACCGTTACCAAATATTATAGTATATAATTATATTTGTTACGTGATCATTGTTATTAATTTTTATTACCCTCCCCATAAATAATTCCAGCGTTGTTTTTTTAATACACTTCTATTTTTAGCGGAACGCATGGTTATATGGCCCCCGAAGTTTTAGCTAAAGGAACCCCTTACGATTCATCCGCCGATTGGTTTTCCTTGGGTTGTGTGTTGTACAAACTGTTAAAAGGGTATTACTAACTATTTTGTCTTATACGCTTGAACATAATTTTTGTAAGTTATTATTTAATTGATAGTAGAATAAGCTAAAAGGATGGAAAGAGATTCAAAATTTAGTTCACATTATCACTCAACGATTTCATAACAAAACTGAATTAGGAAGATAATTGCAGTATGATTTGGGTGTATTTTAAAAATGGTTCATTTATATTTTGATTATTAGTCTGCACGGGTTTTCAACCGCCGCCCCTTGTTTTAAAAATATTTTTAATTCATCTGCTCAATGTTTGAAATTTTTAAACCTTCTCACGCTCGTCCATAATATGGGCGCCCGTTACAGATTCTAATTTGGGCTGGAGGTTATAGAATAATTAAGAATTTTTTTTGAACTATTTATTTTTTTACGATTTATAGTCACAGCCCGTTTAGGCAACACAAAACTAAGGATAAACACGAGATAGACAGGATGACACTAACGATGGTAGGTATTTTTACAGTTTAACATTTCAAATATAATATAAAAATATGTTAACTTCAATGTGACATTATTGGATTTTATTTCATCCCCTATGTTTCCTCCTTCATAATTGTGTTCTCATCATAATTTTTAACCAAAATATTGACTTTGATTTGTCCTTTTTGACTGAGAAGTTTGATATCCTTAAATGTAAAATTGAATTTCATATTTTCTGCTAGATTTGGTATTAGAGATGTAAATTTCCCGAAACTATAATAAGGGAAATTTAATGGAAAAGGGAAACTTAGAGGGAAAGGGGAAAAAAGGGAAATTTCTTAAAAAATTATTTTAAAGGTAACTATTGATTTTTTTTTCACGTTTTATCAAAAATATATAGACTATTAATATGATATTTTAACAAGTATGTTACAATTTCAATTATTTAATTTGTTATCTACGTTTTCCAAATAACGAACAATTTGTCATTTGTCTCGCAACATCTAAAACTAGTTGTCAGATATTGAAAAGTTCATATTGAGAAAAGTTGGAACCTAAAAAAATAAAATATAATTAAATACTAAAATATAAATTCTAAATCTTTATTAATTACTAATAAATATAAAGTGAAAACATAACCAAATATAAAAATGAATATAAGAAAGTAAAAGTAAAAGACTAAAAATTATATGCGAAAAAAAATAAATTCTAAATAAACAGTTAAAATCGCATAATATTTTCTAAAATATATAATAATCTAATAATTTGCATATACATTTCTTTCGTTTTTCTTGTTTTTGTTTAAAGTAGATTTGCATATTAAAACACATATTACAACACTAGTAACATCTAATTATCAACAACTTAATGTCTTCAAAATTAAATCCGCAATATTTTGGGTCAAGTATATGAGCAGGGTATTGAATGTCTTGGCAACAAAAAATTCCGATTTTTTAAAATAAGTTGTTCGATCTCTATAATTTTCTTTCATGAGAGATTTCCCTGATATGGATAAATGTTTGAGGAACGTCAGATAAATTTGATGTGTCCGCTTCGACTTCCTCTATTTGTGTAGAAATGACGCAAGATCATTTAAAAAACTCCATTATCAAAAAGATAAGTCTCTTATCTCTATAAAAAAATACAGTATTGCCCCAAAATATCTTTATTTTTTGACAGACTATTAGTTATCTTAACTATGTTCAAGGAGTTGGGTGGGCTAGGCAACTTTAAGGAAACAATCCTATTTTTTTCTTTATGTAGTTGTTTTACCTTAAAATATCTTGAATTTTATATAGTTTATAATAATTTGGGCTTTTGTCATTGTTATCAATATTTTATCTGCTAGATCCTTTAAATTCAAATTAAGTCCATGAAATCCAGACCCAATGCATTCGATAATTGGATATTTAATTCTCACAAGTGTCCAGGCTTTCTTTATCTTGCATTATTTATTATAATGTTAATTTTTGTGTTTCCTATTTCTACAATTACTTCTAATAAATTTACTAAATATATATATTTTCCCCTTGTGCATGGTCCCTGTTTCAATTAATTTATAGAAAAATGGCCTTGAAATCGCTATAATAAAATTTATAATACATTCCACTGTTATATTTGTCCACCCATCATTAATAAGGGTCAAATTTTATTTTTTATCTTATCTTTCAATTACTATATTTTTAATTCATTCATATTCACGGTTTAACAAATTTTAACTGAGTAAATATCTTGTGAACATTTTAAATGCTGTTTTTAAAGATTGAAATAATTTCTTCCAAATACACCTTGCTTTATGGAAAATGAACAATTTAACATAAAAATGGTGTTCCTAAATTATCCATATATTTTATTAAATTATTTTTTCAGAATAGTTGAATTAAAATTAAAAGAGAAAGTTGGCCTTATCCTATATCTCTTTAACCTTTAATCCTACTCTTTATCCCTATTTCAGTTATTATTAAAAAAAATTATATATTTCAGTCAATAAAAAAGATTCCTTCCGATGAACATTACTAGATTTAGCTATTATTATATTATCTAAAATAAACGTACATTTAAAGACAAAACACAATTATGATATATGCACCAAGAGGAAATTTTTTTCTTCAAAATATGATAAAATTCCTGATTTATTTGAACAAAAAAACATAAATACAGCTCTATTTGATATAATATTATATTTTTAATTTTAATGGAATTATTTTTTTGCCCTATAAAATAAGGAAGAACATGTATAAAATCACAAGGGGAATAAAAATTATTTTGAAATTGATTAATAATTATATTATATAAATCATAACTGGACATATTTGAGGTCACCAAGTGAAAGAGAAAGAAAGCTAATTAGATAAAAGTGACAAACATTCCAAAAATTCAATATAAGGACTACAAGATAAAAAGAAATGAAAAAGAGGAAAAAATTAAATATATAATTTTTAATTTAATTTGGAAGAATTTACCACAAGAAAACAAAGGTTTATACTTTCTAATTTTATTTTTATTAAAAATTATTTCTCGTAGGACGTTGAATTACCTAGCAATTTCTCCAACGAAGTGAGAAATTTGTTCGACACACTCTTAGCGCGCGAAGTCGAAAATAGATTAGGTTGCCAGGGATTAGGGTAAATGAAATTAAAATTTATTAGTCATCTCACGAAGATGGCCATGGCTGATTTAGGTAATCTGGTAATCCGATTACTTTGCAAAGTTATTTTGTATATTCTGAGTTTGCAACTTCTCTTTAAAAAAGAAATATCATATTTTATCAAATTAAGAGAAACTAAGGAAAGGAGGAAATACGCGAAAAATTATAATACCCTCTTAATAAGCGCCGATATATATTTATATTTATTTTGTTAAATTCAATTATCTAACAATTCAATTTCTTCCTTTGCAATTATATTATACTCTGTTTTTGAATCGTAGACACGAATAAACCTGTTGTAACTTTATAATTGTATGACAATTCTTTTGATATTAGTAGAATTATAATGATAATAGGGATTAAGAGCTACGACTAATGTAAGAGGGCTTAAATCGAATAAATTAAAATGCCATGTTAAACCAACATAGCTGATTTTTATGAATTTTATAATCTTTAATGCTCTTCTGAATTATCATTATTTTAGCATATGATTAAACCTGTGTGCTACACCGCCGACCCTTTTAAGACATTTTACGCTGTAGGCGATTTTAGGCGACGTGGCGCTTATTTATATATAGCTTTAAATGGATCACAGAAACTTTTTTAAAAATATTTATAATAAATAAAATTGTATACTATTTATATTTCTTACAATGTTAGCTATAACATGTGACCTATTATATACACCCCCAAATAAATATCGAATCATTCCTTAGTTTTATCTACTTTACATCTATCTATTCGACGATGAACGATTTGCAATATAGGTTAGATAGCTATAAAATTATAACATAAATATTACATAGCAATAAACCTAGTAAGTTATGAAGTTTTTTGGCCAGCTCATACTTTCAAATAATAATAAAGAAAATCATAAAAGAATATTCTTATTTCTGTATTGTATGTTTGAAAGATGCTGATAGAGGAAAAATATTATAGAGAAAGTTTCATTAATATTTATTAATATATTATATGTGTGTGTATTGTATATATATATAACATATATAATTGATTTTGTTCAATAATTTTTAATATTTGGGTTAAGTTCACAGAATATTTATAAGATTGATTTAATAAATGACACTTTATACCCAGAAATTCCAATTGCTCTCTCGGCTACGGATATTTAGTCTATTAAAACAACCGATATTTTTACGAGAAAGAATAAATTGTTGAGCATATAAAAAAATACTTAACACACCTCCCTCTCTAAATAGTCAACAAGGACGGGGGGGGGGGGGGTTGGTCTATGCTTCGACTAAATGAATTTATTCTAAATAAAACTACTAAAAAAAGTTATAGGACAATTTTTTTCTGATTGGTTGAAATACCCCATACTACTTTAAAAAATGTTGATTACTAGTGATCTGCATCGGGCTAATTTTTTAAACCCGGCCCGACCTGGAATATTTTTTAAAAAAGTATTGCCGGCCTGTCCGAACCCAAAATTTTTTTAAAAAGATTTACTGGCCCGGCCCGACCCATATTTATTATAAATTAATTTTTATAATTACTCAAAATAAAAGACATATGTTATATGGCGTTTAGTTTCAATAAATAAAATTAAAAATTTTTATTTTACATAAAAAAATCAATATAAAATTGATAAATTTAGATATATTTAAAAAAAATTTCAATGTCCGACATGACCCGGCCCAAATTTTTTTAAAAATATTAAGCCCGGCCCTAACCCGATTATTTTAAATAGAATTGAGCCGGGCCGGGTACGGGCCGGGCCTAACTTTGCAGATCTCTAATGATTACTAACTCTAAAAAAAACTATGACTAACTTCATCCTCCCTAAATAAGCAACGGATGGGGTTTAAACCATGATAATGTTTAAAAAAATGATTAAAGAATATAGTTAAATAAAGTGTTGAATGTGTTCCTGCAGTAGATTTTCGTTTTTTGGTATTATAGATTCGTAGTCCCTGTTTGGTGCTTGAAAACAATTTCCTACGATTTCTTTTTTTCACCGGGTATCACCATATTTTATACGATTTCGGAGACTATATATAGATGGTGTTTGGGGGGGGGGGGGTTCAAGAATGATATCTAGGAATCTCTATAGCTTGCGACTTAAAAATACTCTGGCAGGAGCAATTTTTGAGGTTGTATTTGTGATGTTATTTTAATTATTTAGGGAATTAATTACCTGTATATTTACTTCAATGAATTCACACCCTTGTATTAGTCATCTGCATCGGCCTAATTTTTCAAGACCCGCCTGGCCTGAAATTTTTATAATAAATTTGTCTTACCCGGCCTGATTCCGAACGAATTTTTTTTTATTTTTCCCGAAAATCCCCTCGAATTTATTTAAATATAAAAAAATTTAATGGTTTTTTTATTGTAAAAAAAATATTCTACAAATAAAAAATATTAGCTCCTTGGTTCTTGCAAGAATTTTAAAATACATCCAATTTATTTGACAAAATGTAATAATATCATATTTAAACATAAGCCCGGCCCGGAATTTTTTAAAAAATATTAGGCCCTAACCAAGATTATTTTTTAAAAATAGACCCTTTGCAGATCTTTACACAGCATTTTTGAATGTTCATATGAATCTTTCGGCCAACCCATTGCTTTGCGACATATGGGGTTGTGGTGATATTACTTATGTTTTATTTGGAGTAAAGTTTTACCTCACTTTTTGTGTCTTTTATTAATTTAATCTTACGATTATTCTGTAAATTGTAATGATACTAATCCGCTCACAAGCTGAACTGGGGAGAATTCCACTCATACTATTCTAACCTTTACAATTTCAATAAATTCAGATAGACTTACCGAATGTGGTGGTATTCCATATAGAGCAGTTGAGATCTAGTTACCGTCATAATACTTTACGATTGATTAATAAGATTAATTTAATAAAACAAAAAAACAAATTAAAGGTAATTCTTTTTATTCAACTTGGATTATAAATATATTTTAATAAAAAAAATATTAAGATTAAGATAAAATTTTTAATAAATAAACTTTTTCTAAAATTCAAGAAGAAATTAAGTAATTATAAAAAAGTGTCTCCCTTTTATGTGTAAAATAAAAGGCGCAATAAAAAATCGAATATAAATTGGAGTAAGTCATTTAACAATTTTAAGTTGTGTTAGCTTTATTATCCTATATAATTCAGGATAAAACTAAACCTTATAGAGATCTCGAGATTTACACCCGCAAATTCAAAACAATCTTATGGTCACTACCATATTATTTATAACCATAAAAACTTAAGAAATTTATAAAAAGTGGAAAAACCTAAAAAAAAACATGTCTTATTTTTGTGTATTTTTTTGAAGTTAATAAAGTAAAATATTAAAAAAGCAAAGAATGATCGTTAATAAAATTTATATAATAAAAACTATTCATCTATAGTACACTTTATCTATAACACTAATTTACACCGTTTATATATATTGTTTTATCAGTGCGCCGCCGGTATAAAAATGCAAACGCGCCGCTGCCGAATAATATATGGCGCACAGGTCTACATATTATATTTTTTTAAATAAACTATCTCTTTAACAATAATTGTTTTTTCTAAAAATTATATAAAAATGGTTAATAAGTGCGATAGAAGTAAAAAACCATCCATTTTTCCGGGGCGTAGACTGGCAGATGGTATACATGAGACGCTATCCGCCGCCTCTTGTGCCACCTAGAGGAGAGGTTAACGCGGCTGACGCCTTCGATATAGGCAGTTTCGACGAAGAGGACACTAAAGGAATTAAGGTATATACCCTTCGGTAATTCGCAAATAAGGAGAAAGGAACGGGGCTGAGATATTAAGAAACAGGATTAACGTTTTCTATATTACAGGTTCTATGATGAGAATTAGGTAAAGGAATTGAGAACCTATAAAAGAATTTTTCCAAAATAAAAGTCAGTTGGATTGACGGGTTTATATTTGGTTAATACCAGAGGTTGGATAAGGACTAAAAAGTTCTGGTTCCTTTTCAAGAAAATTTAAAAAATAAGTTTTATTTGACTTGGTTTCCGAGTTTGGTTTCTGTTTTAAAGAGCAGTGGAAAGAAATATAAATAAACTTAAAATGAATCGCGCAAGAAGTTCATGATTTTCTAAAAATTTAAATTATCACAAATTTTAGGTATAAAAGATCATAATATATTATTGTACAATATCAAAGTAAAAAAAATAAAGGCAAGATATATATCAAAAAAAATGTGTCAATAGAAATACACATAAGATGAAAGAACCATGCATTCCTAAGTAATGATATATTATGTCACGAGTGAAAAAATATATGTTTTTTAAACATATTTACGAATTAGCTCACTGAATCCGATCAAGAATTGTACAAAAATTTCCCTATAGTTATTTCCGAACGGTGGCAAGAGGAAATTGCAGGTTAACCATATATGACAATATTATATATATTAGAATAAAATTTAATATGGCACCCTGGATTAGTTGTATTATCATTATCCCTATAAATACAAAAACCAAAGATAGATTTTAAGAAAGAAAAATCATAAATGAAAATTTTGATTTTTTTTTTACTAAACGCGATATACAAGATAATACAAACAATCTTATATATTTTTTAAAACACAATTTAAAGAAACGATGTTTGATTTGGTGAATCAAGAAACGGATAAATTGGAACAGAAAAAGCGCAATAAACAAAAAACAAAGTTTGACGCCGATGAGAAGGGTCAGTTTATATTCTATGAAATTTTTTAAAATTTGAGTTATAAATAACGAAACCATATTTGGGTTATGTACTATCGCGATATATCTAAAATAGTATGAACGTTATCGTAACTAGCATTCTTATTAATTCTTAAGAGCTTTAACGCCAATTTTCTCTATTTATACATTGTTGAACTATACGGCATCCAATTTTAGGATGACAATGCTATTTTAAAACGAGAGCATCGTTTTGATGGATTGAAAGCTATTAAATAATTAATTCATACTTCTCGAAAAATATTGTCAGTGACTTCATTTAGAGGTGCCGGGACTGTTGGGTCGGAATATTCTCTGACTCTCTTAAGAGATGCTGGGGCTGTGGTCGGATGAGTTAGAGAGTTAGATAAAGTCCTTAGCATTTTATTTAATTTCAAATCTATTCATTATTTATTACTTTTAAAAATTGAATCAAACAAAACAACAATATAACGCAATTTGATTTAAACTTTATTACAGGGTTTCCCATCCAAAAAAGGAAAAGTCCCAATCAAAAAAGGAAAAGGTTCCAAAAAAGGAAAAGTGTCAAACAAAAAAGGAAAAAGTTCAATCAAAAAAGGAAAAGGTCCGATCAAAAAAGGAAAATTGTCAATCAAAAAAGAGAAAGTCCCAAAGGTTAAGGAAAAAGTCTAATCAAAAAAGGAAAAGTGTCAAACAAAAAAGGAAAAGGTTCAATCAAAAAAGGAAAAGTGTCAAACAAAAAAGGAAAAGGTCCAATCAAAAAAGGAAAAGTGTCAATCGAAAAAGGAAAATTCCCAAAAGAAAAGGAAAAGGGTCAATCAAAAAAGGAAAATTCCCATTCAAAAAAGGAAAATCGTAATTTTTTTAAAAAAATATGTAAACTTTTCAATTTTTCTTAAATTTATTTATTTTTGTCATTCCTTCTTATTTTATTTCTAACTTTTTGCGATTTCTTTATTTTATTTGTATCTTTCCTCACTATATCTTTTCTCAAATTTTTTTCTTCTCATTTTTGATAATTCTTTTAAGTATATTTAATTTTCACTAAATTTTTGGCAGACAACTTTTTTATTATAATTTTTTACATATGAAATTATTTAATTACAATTACGATATATATTTAATATAGTACGAAACAAAAATTTATATTAATCATTAATACATTTTGGGATATATGTCTCCATATTTCTAAAATAATTTTTGCATTTTCTTCAGATATTCCTCTTTCTCCATGTTCTATATAACGAATTAATTCTTCCTCGTTACTAGGATTTTTATTTCTGACAAAATCCTTGCATTGAAAAAACACATTCTCAATAGGATTAAGATACGGACTGTAGGGTGGTAAATATTTCAATGTATGTCCTTTTCTTTCGATCGATTCCCTAATTGAATGATTGTGATGAAATGGAACATTATCCATCACAAAAATCATGTTATATTCTTCAAAATGATTTAATATTTCATTTATAAAGTTGCTAAAATATATAGCATTGCAAGGGCCATCAAGAACTTCAAATCGAAATATTCCTGCAATTGTGAGAGCCGCAATGATAGTGTAATTTATTGTCTTTATTCCTTGAACATTTTTTATTGCCTTTTTATTTATTTGGGAATATCCATATAATCGCCTCATTGATATTGAAAACCCGCTCTCATCGATAAATGTAAATTTTTTCTTCATATATGCTACATCTACAAACAAATTCGCGTATTCTTTGCCAATCTCTATATTTGATTCGTTATTTTCTCTAACTGAACGTAATGATACTCTTTTAAAGCTGTATCTAAATCTTGAGAGTAACCTTGATACCGTATTTTTTTATATTTCCATATCATATCTTTCTTTAATGATTTCACATACCTTTTTAAGGATAAAGTGCAATCCAAATTTATACAATTTAATATATATTTTTCCTGCTCTTTATTTAATTTCTTGCGTGCGCGTGAACCTCCTTTGGGTAAGCCATTTTTGAGATGAGAGTATTTAATATTTGTCACTGTCTTATAGCTTACTTTAAAACATGATGCTATATTTTTGATACTATCTTTTTTTAACGCGTCAATTATTAGAGCTTTTGTTTCACTGTTAATATTTTTTCCCCTTTTTACCATATCTTCATAATTTTATTTTTTAAAACAAAAAAATTTATTTTTAAAGTATATACTCAACAAATGGAAGTGAAAAAGATTATAAAATTTACCTCTTTGCGTTTAATTTTTTATAAATCAAAATAGTTTAAAAGATAATTAAATTACAAAATAATTATTTACTTGCTAAAAAGAATAAATGCGTTTTGAATATATTAAAATTTTAAAAATATAAGAATTTTAAAATGATTATATTTTATTAATTTACATATCGTTTGGTATTAGTTTAAACTTATTTATTATAACCAAACGATTAATTTAATATTGTAATTATAAATATGTATGTAAAAAATAGTCTGCCAAAAAAATAATATAATTTTAAAAAAGAATTATCAAAAATGAGAAGAAAAGAAATAGAGAAAAGATATAGTAAGAAAAATAAATTGAGAAAAGATACAAATAAAGTAAAGAAATAGCAAAAAGTTAGGAATAAAATAAGAAGGAATGACAAAAAATAAATATTTTTAAGAAAAATTGAAAAGTTTTTATATTTTTTTAAAAAAATTACGATTTTCCTTTTTTGATTGACCCTTTTCCTTTTCTTTTGGGAATTTTCCTTTTTCGATTGACACTTTGCCTTTTTTGATTGGACCTTTTCCTTTTTTATTTGACACTTTTCCTTTTTTGATTAAACCTTTTCCTTTTTTGTTTGACACTTTTCCTTTTTTGATTGGACTTTTTCCTTAACCTTTGGGACTTTTCCTTTTTTGATTGAACTTTTTCCTTTTTTGTTTGACACTTTTCCTTTTTTGATTGAACCTTTTCATTTTATGATAGGACTTTTCCTTTTTTGGATGGGAAACCCTGTATATTAAATTGTATAAATTTGGATTGCACTTTATCTTAAAAAAGGTTATGTGAAATCATTAAAGAAAGTTATGATGTGGAAATATCAAAAAATACGGTATCAAGGTTACTCTCAGGATTTAGGTACAGCTTTAAAAGAGTATCATTACGTTCAGTTAGAGAAAATAACAAATCAAATATAGAGATTCGCAAAGAATACGCGAATTGGTTTGTAGATGTAGCATATATGAAGGAAAAATTTATATTTATCGATGAGAGCGGGTTTTCAATATCAATGAGGCGATTATATGGATATTCTCAAATAAATAAAAAGGCAATTAAAAATGTTCAAGGAATAAAGACAATAAATTACACTATCATTGTGGCTCTCACAATTGCAGGAATATTTCGATTCGAAGTTCTTGATGGCCCTTGCAATGCTATATATTTTAGCAACTTTATAAATGAAATATTAAATCATTTTGAAGAATATAACATGATTAATATGATTTTTGTCATAGATAATGTTCCATTTCACCACAATCATTCAATTAGGGAATCGATCGAAAGAAAAGGACATACATTGAAATATTTACCACCCTACAGTCCGTATCTTAATCCTATTGAGAATGTGTTTTTTCAATGGAAGGATTTTGTCAGAAATAAAAAAAAATCCTAGTAACGAGGAAGAATTAATTCGTTATATAGAACATGGAGAAAGAGGAATATCTGAAGAAAATGCAAAATTTTTTTTAGAAATATGGAGACATATATCCCAAAATGTAGAAGGGGAGAAATTATTAAGGATTAATATAAATTTTTGTTTCGTACTATATTAAATATATATCGTAATTCTAATTAAATAATTTCATATGTAAAAAATTATAATAAAAAAGTTGTCTGCCAAAAATTTAGTGAAAATTAAATATACTTAAAAGAATTATCAAAAATGAGAAGAAAAAAATTTGAGAAAGATACAAATAAAATAAAGAAATCGCAAAAAGTTAGAAATAAAATAAGAAGGAATGACAAAAATAAATAAATTTAAGAAAAATTGAAAAGTTTATATATTTTTTTAAAAAAATTACGATTTTCCTTTTTTGATTGACCCTTTTCCTTTTCTTTTGGGAATTTTCCTTTTTCGATTGACACTTTTCCTTTTTTGATTAAACCTTTTCCTTTTTTGTTTGACACTTTTCCTTTTTTGATTGAACCTTTTCCTTTTTTGTTTGACACTTTTCCTTTTTTGATTGGGACTTTTCCTTTTTTTGGATGGGAAACCCTGTATTTTAAAAAAGGAACGTACATAAAAATCGGAATAAAATTTATAAATATATTTTGCCATTTTATTGAAAAATTTTGGTTGTATTTTACAAATTGTTTTAAAAATTTTATTGTTTAGTATAATATATAAACTAAAAAAATATGTAAGAAAAAACATTTAAAAAAAATTGCATAATGGGTATGCACCCATGTATTGAGATTACATTTGATCGGCATACTTTTAATCCGATTTTTTGTCGTTTCCGCAATGATTCCAGTATTGTTGGAAATTTTCTTACCCATTATTTTTCGAAATTTCAGTAAGACATCCCACAAATTGGTTAGAGTAGTGCTAATTAACGGGATAAAATAAGGGTTTGATTGAAAGGTTTATTTTAATATTTTTTAGATTCTGCAGTTTCTGTGAATGGTTGTTATTATTATATGTTGCAAATATATCTATACAATATACATGATTAGTCCCTAACGAGAGGCCTACACATTGCCAAGGGGTGAGGGATATTCCAGCAGGCCGTTTATTGTCCCCTAGGTTCAATTATAAGATTTTTCCACAGATTTATTGATATAATTTTTAAAATCGGTGTAATTTGGTCATGATTGTTTAAACCCGGACTGTCCCGGATTTTTAAAGTCTAAGATTTCCGGCCTCCTTGTCTAATATATAATATTAAATTTAATAATAAACACCACCTAAATATTATAAAATTATAATTTCTTCTAATTATTTTAATATTATTTTATTAAAAGATTAAACTATCTATTATTAGATTAAAGAAATATAATTATTACCTTATTAAGTATAATATCTCTTCATTATAATTACTTTTATATTATAAGAAAAAATCCGGAACTTAATAGAATATGTAAATAATCTATACCCAACAATGCAGTTTATCTAGACATTTGCAGTTTAGTCAAGCAGACAAAAATTTACAAAAAATATATTTTATAACAATTTTATTATAATATTTCAAGTTATTTTTTAAAAAAAGTCATGAAAGATAAAATAAAAGTTGTATTTGTTTTAAGAAGTTAAAATCCCTTTTCTTAAGTTCATTTCTAACTATAAAAAATGATATCATTTTAAACTATTTAACGAAAGTTTTATAAAAAAATATTTTTTTAAAAAAAGTTATTATATGTGCATAAAAAAGGAAAATAAAATCAAAATTTTAAGAATACGCAATTATAAACCAAGAATAAACAAATAAACTCTTTGTAAAAACGATTAAAATATGACATAATTTAGATTATATAAAATCGAAACTTACATCTATAATATTCATTTGTGATAATCATTAAAAGATATTATACCCTGCCTATAGGTTATTATTTATTAATTCCATTCCTCCCTATCTATCCTTATATAAACTATATAACTGTTAAAAATGCACTCACTCTATAATCTATATTTTTTTTATATATGGTTAATATATCACTTATAGAATCAGATTGTGTTATCCATGGATACCTTAAAAAACTAGGAGGTCCTTTTGCATCTGCTTGGCAAACACGTTACGCCAAGCTCTACCCAAATAGACTCGAACTACATCCAGAATCTGGCAACGCTAGGCCTGAGGTTACTTAGATCTTATATTACAATCTGGGGATTAAACTAAGTAGGAAAGATATGGGAAGAAAAATAAAGAAATAAGGAGGCAATTTAATTAAAATTATTTATATATTTTTATTTTGAAACAATGCAAGTTAATATTCATGGATCAAGTAGCTTCCATAGATCACGAATTCCACACAATCAAAGGGGAACAATGCATTATTTTAAACATGAAAATGAAAGACAAGATAATACTAACACAACAGGTTACTTATATTTCATTTTTTATATAAAAAATTTTTAAACAAAAATACAACGTCACTCTGTATGCGTAAAACTTATTTTGTCACTTCATAGATTCATAAAATAAATTTACAAATATAATTCTTAATAATTAAAATAAATAATATAGGACGAAGTGGGGATAAACGAATGGAAGACGACTTTATTCGCTACCCACAAAAACAGTCAAGAGCTCCTATCAACGGTCGCCAAAAAAGCGAGTAAAGTTTACGGAACCAATGCGTCCACTAACTACGTTCAGCAAAATATCCCGAATAGTGCCAATTCTTATTCGCCCACTAACGCTAATGCCTACGCCGCTAGGCATCGGAGTAGCAATTCTTCCGGTAGTAATCCGAATATCAGTGGCAAGAACGCTAACAGTTCTATACCCGTCGGGAATTTGAACTACCACCAAAATAATTTCATCAAATGAGAAATAAAAAATGCTTCCTTTTTCTTATATACATAACATAAGTATAGTCATAATATACAATTCTGTGTTTGTGTTTGATCCGAATATCTTACCGATTGCGTTGGGTCAGTTATACAAACAAAATTGGTGTTAATCAGTTATATTGAGCCTTCGGATTTCCCTTATATCAATATTTTATTGTAATCAATAGCTACCACACAAACCGTTTTCTCCTATATTGCGCAGTGTCCTATAATTTTGCGTAAATCTCGAAACACCTCATCCATTATAATTATTTAAAAACATTTTTATGAGATAGTAACTAGGCTTATGAAAGATACCCATCAAAACCAAATATAAAATCCAAATTTTGTAATTTCTTCTTTTACCCAATAAGTTTATGTTGACCTATAAATATTATTGAATAAAATAAAATATTTTTTTAAAAAAAATAAACAGAGTACATATTCTTTTTTTTTCTTATATGAAACCCAAAGATTATTTTTCATATTTATTGACTCATAAATTTTGTATTACATAGTTTTATTTATTTTAAAACCACTGAATCTTCGAATCGTTATATTTTTAGAACAATATAATTTATTCTAAATTTAGAAAAAGTTCACGTTAATTTGTGCAATAATCGTTAATGCCAATTTTTTAATCCATTTGCTTCTAAAGATGAAGAAAGGTATGAATATTTAAAAAATTATATACAACGATAATTTAATTTGTACTAACTTTAAAAAAAAAGAAGTTGCAACGCGCTACTTTTTAAATAATAAAACGGTAATATGCTGCCGTTCCTTTTCGAAATTAAGGTTTTAACATCACTATTGTATAGTTCCTTAAATATCTGTTTATATCTTTTCCTAATTTATTAAAAATATTATAAATAAATTTTTGTCCTTTTTAACTCAATTACTATATTTTAAAAAAGATTTAATGCCAACCCTCTGGAGAGGGAAGGGGTACTCAGAAAATCGAAATTCAATATGGCACTCCTAAAAAACTTTTATTAAACGTATTTTTGAGCATCCCCCGAAATTAAGATAGTTATTTTTAGCATCCGCATAATTTAATGCCTTTTTAAATTTTAAGTAGCTTCTTGTATAATTTGATAACATGTTACATACAAATGAGGACACCATATTTGGGCTAAAAGTGCTATAAGTTTTAATCAATTAAAAAATTAAAATATTATTAGTCAATAAATCAATTAACTTTAATACAAAAAAAATATTAAATAGTTATTTATAATTCTAAGAGGATTATATATGTACCTCACTCCTAAACACTCCCCATACCCATCCCATTAATATGAATTATATTTTAGATATTTTTTTTATTAAACATATGTGTTGTAAAAATTATATTATGCGACATTTTAATTCGACTTTATATTTATTATTTATAAAAATCATATATTCATTATATTTTCGAATTTTTAAAATTTTTTTATTAAATCCAATCATGATATTAAAATAGTATATATTTTTTTAAAAATATCTATAAAATATTTACCTAATATGATATTTATACCAAAGAAATATGTAATATAAATATAAACTGCTGAAACACTACAATATCTTATTTTAAACAATTTTTAAAAGATTGTGAATTGCTCTGAAGCTCAGACTTGAAAATAAATTTCTGCTCTGGCCTAAAAAAAGAGTAGGGAATTTCTTGGTGATACATTATAACATGGCTTACCACGTGTGATTATTATTTTTTGGTCTGTTACTATAAGGGAAATCTCATTAAAATTTTTTATTTTATTCTCGATTTTAATGTTATGCATTCAGCAATAACTTAATTTAATGATGTCTCTATTTTATTCTATAAATATATATTAAAATTAATCTCATGATATTTTTAAAACCTTTCTTAATGATTAAATTCATTTTATAATTGAAAAAATGGATTTCCCACGAGCCTCCTATATTATTTTGATAATTTTACTTGTAAAACGGCTCGCCAAAAATAATATTACACAAGCCTTGAGATTTCGTTAATAGATGTTCAAACGCATCTATGAACAAAAATTCCAGGCTTTATATTTTTTGGGTGCAAGATAGGGTTATCCATTTTTAAAAATCTAACCTTTAACTACACTAATTTTACCACAGCTGGGCTGACGGGCAGGCCCTACATGGCTAGTGCCTATCTTAAATTTCGTTATTTTAATTTTGGATGTATTTTGTAATTTTTTTAAAAAGACAATAAGAGCAGTAAATGAATATTAATGCTGCATCATATGTTTTTCTAATTGATATCAAATCGGCCAGGCCCGGACCGGATTTTGTAAAAAAAATATTTCTAATCCCGGCAGTGTTTATTTTTAATTAGACTATCCGTTGGTGCCTGCAGATTCCAACTATAATATCTGTCTATATACTAAAGTTAGATTAACGTTCACTCTTTCGACAAATTAATAATAATGTATTCCTATTTTGGGCTACATATGCTCGGTATGAAATCTATGCCGATTCAGTTATTCTTTTATTACTCTTTTTTTGTTGATCACAAAACTTTATTCAAAAAGACAGTAATTTTAAAAAAATTCATAATTTTAAAGTGAAAACTAGAAGTTTTAGATATTATATCTGAGATGACGTTTGTCATTTAATCCGTATACCATACATAATAAGAATAATCTAATTGAATTTCAAAAAAAAAACGTTTTATAAAATCGTTATCATTTAAAAAAGGTTTTAAAAAAATGTAATTATTTTTTCCAAGCGAAAAATATATATTCTGATTGTGGCATAATTATTTTACAAGAAAGTTTGAACAAACAAAGATATTGACTTAGTTTAAAAAAAAATCTAAAACAAGAAATATAATTGATTTATTTTTAATCTAAAGTTTTCTGTCTAAATCGAATCTATTAAAGCAGTAGCCGGGAAGGGGGATTCTCCCTTCGGAATTTCGTAAGTATCACTTAAAGCTAATAAAACAATTTTCCACACACCACTCCTCTCCCCCAAAAATGCATGCTGCAATATATCTAATATATATAATCTCCATAATCACGTGATGATCGTTTTCGTATCTCCATAATGTATTTAAAATTTAAGGTAATGTTAATTTAATCTCCATAATCACGTGATATCGTTTTCGTATCTCCTTAATGTATTTAAAATTTAAGGAGACTATATAGTGTAATGTTAATTTTTGCAAACGTTCTTTCAATGCAGCCCCCCTCAACTTTTTATTTTACGATAATAATAAACATTTTTTAAATTTTTTTTTGCCATCCGCGGGATTCGAACTAGCGACTTCACGACTGGAAGGCCAACGTTCTTTCAATGCAGCCCCCTTCAACTTTTTATTTTACGATAATAATAAATATATATTTAATTTAAATTAACAATCAGTTTTTATTTTTTAAATTTTGCCGTTAAATTTTCATTTATTATTGGATAAGAAAATTTTCAAATTATGGTAAGTAATAATTTACTGTCCAATTATTTTATTGTAATCTACTTACTAATATAGTTTGTAAAGCAAAGCAATATTGGAATTATAAGAAAATATTCAAATTGTGGTAAACATTTTGCTGTTTTCAGGTTTATATATTAGCTGATATTTTTAAAGTTTTGTCTATTTTTTATTTTTTGGGCATTTATTGTTAATAATTTTGAAATTTTTTTTTAAAATTAGGGCATTTATTGATAATTATTTTTAAAATTTAGCCATTTATTGATAATTATTTTTAAAGTTTTGTCTATATTTTTTATTTTTTGGGCATTTATTGTTAATAATTTTGAAATTTTTTTTTAAAATTAGGGCATTTATTGATAATTATTTTTAAAATTTTGCCATTTATTGATAATTATTTTTAAAATTTTGCCATTTATTTTATCCTATTATTTTGATTTACAATGTTATTTATATATATTTTTTTTTAAGTTAGCTATATTATTTTATATAGATAAGAATACAATGGAGAATAAGGAATAATATAAATAAACATTTTGTTTTCAGGTTTATATATTAGCTGATATTTTTAAAGTTTAGTCTATATTTTTTATTTTTTGGGCATTTATTGTTAATAATTTTGAAAATTATTTTTAAAATTAGGGCATTTATTGATAATTATTTTTAAAATTTTGCCATTTATTTTATCCTATTATTTTGATTTTACAATGTTATTTATATATTTTTTTTTAAGTGAGCTATATTATGTTATATAGATAAGAATAACAATGGAGAATATAAATTCTCATATACCTCCAATTAAATCTCACACGAAAAGGATCAAAAATAATATAAATACATCTATAATTATATCCAAACAAACTCCAACTAATCTCATTTTAAAAAAGGTATTTTATTTTTTAGACAGTTAATACCTATTCTATAATACTATAATATTATAGGATAAATCTGATATGATTCTCGCTTGCTCTAGAAGATTTAAAAAAAAATTTCAAAACATTTTACCTCGCATTTTCCCTAAGATTAATCCATTAGTGGAGCAACATACCTGTGGCCTTATGAATATATTTTGCCAATTTTGTCAATCTTTAAATTTTTTAGCTGAAAGACCTTCAGATGGTAGATTTACCCATTGTTGTCATAAAGGTAAAGTCAAAATTACTCAATCGCCATATCCTGATTATTTAAAAAATCTCTTATCTAACTCCTTAGATCCCTTGCACAAAAATTTCATGCATCATATTAGATCTTATAATAGTGTGATCGCCTTCGCCAGTATGGAACACAAATTTCAGAATTATCAGGTAATGGACCTTATTGTTTTAAAGTTCATGGGCAAATTTATCATCGCACATCACATTTATATCCCCAGACTGATATTCTACCTAAATTTGCTCAGTGATATGTGTTGGATACATCTCAGGCCATTGCAGGACGTCTTCAGCACCCTGCCAATTCTGATTGTGATATAAATATCATGAGACATTTAGATGAGCTTATACGCCAAATTAATCCCTATGCTTTAAGTTTCAAAACCTTAGGGGAAGTTGAGAAAGCTGAGTTATCCCTTGCAGAACATTCAAATATATTACTGCCAAAGATTAATATGATATTTCGTGGAGATCGTTCTAGCGACCGTAGGCGATATAATTTTCCTACAATTGATGACGTAGCAATGATTTTTACAAATGATGATGGGGAACCTCCCTTTAAGAGAGATATAAAAGTGTATCCTAGATCCAATGGGAATAATTTAGTAATTCTTAACGTATTAAGCCCTAATTTAGACCCAATGGTTTACCCTGTACTATTTCCTCATGGAGATCCAGGTTGGCAGCCTAATATGATTGCTGAAGGCTTTGAAAATTCTGGGCGTTCAAAAATATCCATGCTACAATTTAAAATTGCCCGTTTAGCGGTTAGACAAAATATTTTTAACCCCCTTCTTAATGCCGGGAGACTAACTCAACAATATATTGTAGATTCCTATCTACAAGTTGAAGCTAATAATCTTAATTTCATAAAGTTTAATCAGTCTAAGTTACGCGTTGAGGAATATTCAGGACTAATGAATTATTTAGCCTCCGATTTTTCCAATAATATTTATATACCTATAGGACGGGCAGTTATTCTACCATCTTCTTTTCAAGGTTCTCATAGAAACATGCAAGAGCGTTATCACGACGCAATGTCTATCGTCTTAAAATATGGCAAACCCGATCTTTTTATAACTTTTACTTGCAACCCAACATGGCCCGAAATATCCGAAAATCTTTTTAACGGTCAAACGCCTGCCGATAGACCTGATATAGTTTCTAGAGTTTTTAAAATTAAATTAGCTGCTTTTTTATCTGATATCACTAAAAATAACATGTTCGGGAAAAAATTGGCATATGTTTATACAATTGAATTTCAAAAAAGAGGATTACCTCATGCCCATTTGTTGTTCATTATAAGTTCAGAGCATAAAATTGATACCGCTGAGGCTATAGATAAATTTGTATATGCCGAGAGACCAGATAGGACTAACAATTCACAATTATTTAACATTGTTACGCGTTTTATGATTCATGGCCCCTGTGGCATTCTTAATCCTCGATCACCTTGCATGGATAATGGCGTATGTACTAAAAATTTTCCTAAAGATTTTATAAATGATACAATAACAAATACTAATGGGTATCCTCTATATAAAAGAAGGGATGTAGGTTTTATATTAATATCCGGTAAACCTGTTGATAATCGTTTTGTTATTCCATACAATACCTACTTACTTTTAAAATACAATGCTCATATCAATGTTGAAATATGCACTTCTGTTTAATCAGTAAAATATATTTTTAAATACGTATATAAAGGTTATGATTGTGCAAATATCGATTTAAATTTAGAATCTCTCCCCCCTAAATATGATGAAATTAAAAGTCATTTAAACACTCGGTATGTTAGCTCATGTGAAGCGATGTGGCGGTTAGTATCCCATGCATGATATTTACCTATTTTTCTCCTAAATTTTAATATTTTTATAAAATAGATTATACACAAACTAGCTAATTACCCCTCAACCCCGTCATTCTTGACGGGTTATTAGCTAGTCATTTTATAGATAAATAGGTCAGAGATCTGTAGAAATACCATTAGCATTCTCTGTTTTTTTTAAAAAAAATTCCGGCCCTGCCCGTGTTTTATATTTTCAGGAGCGGCCCAGATTTTTTTTTAAAATAAACACCCAGTCAGGATTTTTTTTAATATATTACATATATTTTTAAGTTTTATAGCTAATAGTGGCGATTTAATATATACTACCCGACCCAGGTATTTTTATTTAAAAAAAGTCTAGGCCCAGCCTGGCCAGGGTATTTATAAAGAATTAGGCCAGACCTTAAAAAAATTAAAATACGGGACTATAATATTTCAAAATTTTTATAAAAATAAAAGAAAGGATTTTTGAAGAGTTTATGTTGAATTTTTTTAGATTTTTATTGCTTTAATAGATTTTGAAACCGATATTCTAATCTCCAGAACTTGATCAAATCTAAGAGCGAGAAAATTTTAAATACCAACATCATCTTTTGAAAAATCTTTAGAAATAATCCTTTTTAGTTCAGATTCCAAACGATGTAACTTATAACTACTCATGTTGTATAATGTTTTCCCATTTATATAGTATTTTTATTTTAAAAAATAGAACAACCTATATAAAGCTTTCTTTTAATATTATTTTACAATTTTTAACTCGTCTCATTAATTCATTTAGTAAGTCATTTCATTTAAAATAAATAAATTGCACCTAAAATTATTATTGAATTTTATTATACAGCAGTGAAGTCTGTGAGATGGCTACACACGAGGTAGTTATATTTTGGTTAATATATTTAACATTTTAAATCGGATTTGATAGGGATTAACTGAGCTAGGGCCTTCTAGATGAAGATGTGGTCATCTTTGAAGGTTTCACTGTATATAATGCAATGAATAACTTACTATAATATTCTCCTTTTTTATGAATTATCGCTAAACTTCCTAGTATTAAATGCTTTTAGAATATATTCTATTATTTTTATGATCATTTATACGTACCTAAAGAATCGACAAGTCAATAATGTCTAAGATTTTTAAATCAAATTTATGCCTAATATAGAGTAAGTGATGGAAGAATTCGAGGTTGAGGAAAATGACGCTATCGATGAAAATGATAATTTATATTATGAGCCGCAAAATTTTGAATATTCAAATTTACCAGAACCCATTTCTTATAATACTAATTATGATAATGTCAACACTTCACCAGAATCAGCACAACCACTATCTTATGTAGTAGTCCCAACGTTGACTTCTGATTGGAGTTGAGTTATAATGAATGATGTTATAATTATTATGTTATCACCAAAAATTATTAAATTTTTTAAATCAATATTTTTGTAGTTTTTATCGTAGTGTTGTTTAATTTTTTTTTAACCCTAATAAGTTTACCTTGCAAGTTATTTATTTTCTTTAAGGAAAGAGAAAAAATTAAAATATATTAGCAGGGAAATAGTTTAATTATTTTTTTCTGGAATAATGACCATTATAAAATATGATGGGCCTAATTTCAATAAATAGTAATTTTAAAAAACCTATCAATATCAAATTATATTATTCCAATTTAAATACGTTTTTTTTAAAATGGCGTAAACATCATTCGTTAAATGTAAAATAAAATTTTAAATATATATTCAAAACCGCAAGTTGAAACAACAAGTAATTTGGAGAATGTGAACCTTGGCAAAGATAATCAGAATTATAATACCGATTATTTGAACTACCCGAATTACGTGGATAATAATGCTAATGCAGAAGAAATGAGTTATGTACAGAGATTGAGCAAAGAATTCGATGGCAAAATCCCATTCGGAAACGCGGTTTTGTCGGGGCCTCCTGTAACCAACCCTGACTCTAACCCTTGGGCCCCAGCCACCGATTTTGGTATTGAAACAAATCAGCAAAGTTTATATATTATTTTAAAGCTAATTTTAAATGTGAATTGTTGATATAATCTATAATGTTCATTTTATTAGATACCTAAAATAATATAAAGGTAGAAAGAAAGAGGTTTAAGTTCAACTAGTATTATAAAAAAAATTATTTTAAAAAATTGGTCCATTTCTTATAAATAAATGGCTCGTCTTAAATTATCCATAAAATCAATATAGATAAATATGGTAAACACGGCATTAAAACTTATTTTAAGGGTGCATTTAAACTATAAAGAAAAATTACTAATAACTGAATATGATATAAAATTACAACGATATGGCAACATCTAACTTCCGTGGGTCGGCATTTTAAACGTGATTTATTATTGAAATATATTACATTTGTTTTATTACAAATATTTCAATGTATAAGATTCGATTTACAAACCAAAATATTACGTTAGCAATGGTGGTTACGTTCAAGAGTTACCGCCAGGGCCTAACGCCCTAGCTGAAGAAGTTGTCCAAAAAATCAATAGCCAAAGAAGATAATACTAAATAATAAATAAAACTATATTATATAATCTTTAAACTTTATGATATATTAATTGATCTATGTTTAGAAATTTAATTGGAAAATCTCCCCAGAGGTTTTTATATTATTATGAACACAATTTTTTAAATACTATCATTGTTTTTTAATTGAATAAATTTGAAATTCAGATTTTTATATTATTTACGTGCTTGTTTGAAAAAATTTGTGGTGCCAGTAAAAAAATGAGTAAAGAAGAGGAAGCAGATTGATAAAATAGAATATTATTCATATTATTTTTCATAATATAATTTTTTTAATGTTTAGATGACATCACGAAATTGAAGAATTCCAAGTAAAATTGTAGATATAATTTTTTTTCATACACAATCGACTTATTCATATATATATATATACTCATTTTTTTTAAATTGTTATTTTATAGCAGGAATATAATTGAACGTCCTTTTAATATCTCGCTTTGAACTTTGTCATTCGATGTCGAAATTTCCGCTTGTATCGTCAAAAAACTGCATAAAAAGCACAAAACCGTGCCACCTATTCCGGAGTAGAAAGCCCAACCTTTATAATTAATATTAACATTTTCAATAAATTAGGGAAACATCTAAGGGGAGGAGAATTGTTTCTATCTTGTATATAAGATGGGAGTAAAGTTACTTTTAAAAATAAATAATAAAAGAAAATATTCTGAAGATGGTAATCGGTGCCCATGTTTGAGAAGGGGTGTACCCATACCACTTTTTGGAAACCGATTTGATCCGATATCATATCTAACTAATTTTATATTCTGTAGACAAACTAATCGTTTTAATTTTTAATGCATACATCTATCCATCTCATTTTAATAGTATAACATCTATTTTAACTATACCTTAACATAAGTCGTTTAAATATATTATAATGATCAGTTAGTTTATATTCATGAATTTAAAAGTATATAATATATTTTTATTGATAAATCACTTATTTATATAATAAGATTTATCTATTTAAATAATAAGTAATAAACAAAATATATATGCAATTTGAAAAAAAAATTTTTTTAAATTAAGACACCATTTTATCAGATTGGAAAATTTAATAATATCTGCCGATAACCAATATTTTAAAAAAGATGAAATATCTGTCCGATCCTATCTGATAAAAATATCGGTAAATCCATATTTGAATTCATTAAGTTATCGATTTAAATAAGGTTATAAACAGGGACCCGGAGTTAACCGTAACAAACCGTTAAACCATTATAAACTGTTATAAATATCTGAACCATAACCGTAACCGAACCGATATAATTATTTTTTGAAAGAGTAAAAATTTTTTTATAAAAAACGGTTAAACCGGTTCAAACCGGTTCAATTTTTATATTTCAGAAATGGAAATAATTTGAATATCCAGAATTATATAAACTTGCTCTTATAGTATTGGCGGTTTCCGCAACACAAGTTTCTGTAGAAAGGGCTTTTTCGGAGCTAAAATTTGTGTTATCGTCACAACGAACAAAAAGGAATCCATTTATATTAGAAAATATATTACTTATACGTTCAAATAATATATTTAAAAATGAGTTATTTTGAATCTTATATATTTTTTTTATATATAATTCATAGATACTTATAATAAAAATAATTTAGAAGATGATGTTGCTTCAATAAAATAAAAATTTCTAACCGTAATGAACCTTTATAAACCTTTATAAATAGCTGAACCGAACCTTTATAAATTTCTTCTTAAGAACCGTAACCAAAACGTAACCATTATAATTTTTTACATACTGAACCGTAACCAAACTGAACCGTTATAAATAACGGTTCGGGTCCCTGGTTATAAATGACAAGTTTGTGAACTAAATAAATACATGAAAAGTTTTGATTTTTTTTTTATATCACTGAATATAAAATTACACCTGGTTCACAATGCCCAAGAGCGTAAATATCTGATCCATTCCCGCATATTTTTTCTACTCTAGATGAGCTCCATCCAATCGGATATATGATTAGAGCCAGCGTAAAAAATAATCCTAGTTTAGACAAAAAAAATTAATAATTAATGTAGTGTTTCGAAATGAGCATTTTAAAAAAAATTTAAGAGTCCTTAATAATCTACTTATCACAATAGACCTTTCATTACACTAATGATATTAATAACTATGAAATAATTATCATTATAATATTAAAAACTCATTTTAAAAAAATATATATAACTAGCTCATCTCATTATAGTAATATGTTCCGCAAACCTACGCTTAAATAATTGTTATCCTTAATTTGCCCAATATATTGTAAATAATTGTTATTATAAGCCTCCCCCCACCTACCTGCAAAGGCTTGCACTATCCCTGTCAATATGCAAATAGATTTTTTGAACAAGCTCCTGATACAGAAGGATACCAGAGCAGCGAAACATGTGATTATCATGAGTATACAGCCTATTAGCATAAATATCAGCACTATTTTCCAAGCTATGTTTGAAGGGAAAGTTTCAAAAGGACCGCAAAAATATGTGATCTCGTTATTTGTTTTCTCTGATTCTGTCTTTTGAGTGCTTCCTGTATATTTGGATGTTCGGTAAACAACTTTAGGATTATCAACTGTCCAGGCCTTATATAATTTAGTGCATCTCGTATAAATTCCTATGCTGGGCAAATAAAGGTGTTTTCCCCGGCGTTGATACTCATGAAACAGAGTGGGTAATTGGCCATTCATATTATCTAGATTCCAATTTTTACTACGACTACGTCTTGACAAATCTTTAAGTACATGTTTTTTTTGTAATTTCAAATTAAGAATATAATTAAATTGCTTATAAAATTTAAGCTACTCCAAGCATAAAATTGATAAAAGGGTTGAGGAGTAAATTATAGACGCTATTTATTTTACAAATATGAATAGCTTTGTTGATCTTAATTTATTTTATTATACATAACATAACAAAATAATAAAACCTTGGTATAATCTTATTCTAAGAGTTCCAACGCCTTAAATAATGATAGTTCTCTCACTATAATTATCTCTTTAAAATTAATGTGGTAATTAAAGTTTTATCTCATGGTGGGGGGGGGGGGTGGATGGGTTTACAGCATATATTACAATCACCTATTCGCGGATAATTTTTATTTCCTCGGGATTTATTTTGGTCTCTATTATACGGATTTTGGGTTAGAGCGCTATTTGGTTCGTGAACATTCACTTTTTGAGATATGGCAGCATCGATGTATAATACATGATTATCCATATTTTCTACAATATCACCGCTAGAATATGGAAATGATATTTTCTGCCTCCTATCGAATAATAGGCTATACTTTTTAGCAGATCTATTTCTATTTAAGGGTATATAAGTTTACATGATTAATCTTTAAAAAATATTATTTTTTAAAACTTTATATTTGGCCAATTATTATCAGCTAAACGCCTTTTAATGCGATGATTTCTCGATATTTTTTTATTTATCCCTGTTTCGTTGTATCTCCCGTTGTTTCTTATTATTGCCAAGTAGTTTACTGCCGATGTATAGTTTGAGTAAATGGGAACTCGTTCGATTCTTTTGAAATGATTTAATTTTTTTATTTAAAATATAGAAATAAGTATAGAATGCAATTTATAAGATGTTTATAACGGAAAGTTCAGATCAAGTTTTATTATACTTATAAGCAGGTATTCCATGGTGCTTTTATGGTCATATTTTACGATCGGCAAAAAATCACAAAAACGAACCAATCTTATAATGGCTTATAAATCAAAGAAGAATAAAAACATTCTCACAAAGATATCATATTAACAGGGCCTGCCCACGTCCTTAAAATATTTGTTGTGCATGATTCATTAAAAATTAGTTTAAAATATGTATCTAAAAATTTTTTTAAGTCGAAAAGCTTTAAAACTTTCAGAAGTTTTAAAATTTTAATGAAATCAAAAGTTAAATTTTTGAAATTTAAAAAATTTTGAGAATTATATTTTGGACATGCTTTTATATTTTTATATTGAAAAAGGTGTATTTCTTCGTTTTGAATAAAGTTGCAAAAGTTTGCTAATGATTGGACACAGTCTTACTTAAAAATAATTTTGAAATTATTATTTTATAACTGATTTTAGTTTTCCAATTTTTGTATGGTTTAAAAAAAGAATTAGAGGCCCTACTCCCAAAGTTGAAGGCTAACCGAGATAATGTGCTTGCAGATATAAGAAAGGAATATATAATTTCATTTTTTAACAATATATACCAATACATTGGTGATATGCTCTTCTTAAAGATCAAGTAGTTATTAAAGACCGATCACAATACCAACATTAAAATAGAGGTTATTTTTTTTTGTTATTAATTTTGTAAAATATTTAATCACATCTCAATTTCATTTTAAATTAAAAATATAAATCTTTATTGATTTTTGATATAAGAAAATATATATTATTATATTGACAATAACCAGAAGAATTTCCTGAGGTTATACATAGTTAACATAAAAAAATTTGGTAATTTAAAAATTCAAACCAAAATCAATTTATATAAAGAAATAAAAAAAATACACAATACAATGAAAAAAATATATCATACAAATGTAATCTAATTTTTACTAACAATAAACTATTTCCAAAATTAGTGTCTAAAAGATCTATTTAATTTTTCTCCAAAAATAAGCTTCCTTTGACTAAAAAAATTGTACTATGGGCTTGATGCAAGTACATTATATTTAATAAAAATAATTTTAAATTTGAGAAACATACATATAAAGATAAATGAGATATGTATAAATATTTGACATAAAATAAGTAGTTACCTATATTTCCAAAACAACATATTAAAAGTATACCTAGTTTCAGTATTTTTTTGCAAAAATTTGATTAGTTTCTATTAACTATTGTAACTAATTACTCTAACAATACTAATCTTAACCAAGTGTTTTTTTCAAAAAAAGAAAATTTATCCTTCCCGGTCAATGTTTAGTAGCTTGGCTATAGTTATATCTGTGTTGTTAAACGACTCGATTTAGCTGATTTTATATTAAGATTTTAGCCAAAATAATATTACGCATGCCTCGAAATTTCGTTAATGAATGTCTAAACCTTTCTTCTGAACAAAATATTTAAGTTTATTGGTGAAAATATTTGGTTAGCCGATTTTAATAATCAAGCTGCTTAACAACATTAGTTGTATCATTAGTTTCTTCAATTAATTAATTCCTAAAATTAAATTACTCTTAACATAATCGCCGTCTCAATAAAATAATCAATTTGTTAGCTGCCTCAGTTTCCCTACGAATATTTCTCGTTGGCATTATTATTAAAAGGTTTTTTTTTAAACTAAGTAAAAACTTACAATCGGTTGTAATTCTGAATTCCCACCAACCACATAGGAGACATCAGGATTACGATCATCAAAACCGTGTCAAATAAAGAAAATAAGCACCAAATTACTGTCCTTAGCGTTATGATAACGTAACACATTTTTCTCATTCCATATTTTTTTGTATCTCTGAAATATATTTATATTTTAAAAATTAATACAACCCTAAACGATACTAAAATAGTATTTTTTTAAAATAGCATTTTGAATTTGTATTTTATTTTTGGAATTAAGCATTATTTATAAATATCTTTAAATATTCTTAAAGCAATATTTCATATTTTATAATTTTAATCAATCCAGACATATTACCATCGTCTCGTTTTGAGTGGCACCTCACCGAAACTCCACTTATATTAATACATTTCCTGTTTTTTAAAGTTAATGAAGCTGATAGTTTTTTTTTTGCAAAATCGGCAAAATACAATTTTGTGACGAGATCTTCATTGTACTATAAAGTTACATAAGTTTATTTTTTTTAATAAATTAATACTTGAAGAGCAAAAAAATTTTTAAATGGATCGCGAAAATTTTCAAAACAAAACCTTTTTTTATTGAAGAAAATTATTCATGACACGATTGGATAATTTCTATCTTGAATACTACTAAAATAAATGTATATAATTCTCAAATTATTATTCAAAACGGAATAAGAATTTTATTTTAGAAGTCTCAATGCGAGCCGATCAATAAATATAACAAAGGATATACTCATTATTATTTTATTTAAATTTTGAACTCATCTTCCTATCCATCCATTTCAAACTACTCGTCCTTCGGTTCATATTTATCATTGATATTTTTTATAAATAAATTATTCATTTTTCATTAAAATTTAAATTATTATGCTAATAAGATTCCTTATCATCCTTCCAAGATCCAAAACAAAAATTTAGCCTATTTCTAAATATAAAATATATAATAAAAATTAGCCCTGCACAGAGTTGTTAAACGCTATTTTTAAAAGTAGCGCGCTACCGCTATAGCTATTTTTCAAAAAAAGTAGCGCGCTACCGCTTTCGCTATTTGTCAAAAAAGTAGAGCGCTATTAGCTACTTTTAAGCTACTTTTTATAAAAAAAATTTTAGAAACAAATGAAACAAATTTTTTTTATTTTTTTTTTGCTTATAATGTAGTATAATAAATAAATAATATATAAAAATCAACATTTATAAATATAAAAATATAGTTAGTTTAGATTATAAAAAAATAAGCAATATAAATAAATATTTATTTTAATTTGTTGCATTTTAATAATAATATCATTTCAATATTATCATCCCCAAGTCTAGAGCGACGATCAGAAAGTATAAGCTTTGCTTTGCTAAATATTCTCTCGACACTAGCACTTGAGGGCAAGGAAGCTCTAAAAATATTTAATCAGATCAATAATTTATAAATGTAAATAAGTTTTTACCTTCTGTTATGTGTCCAACTATCTGCCGGTGTACATACATAAGATATATCTGATAACTCTACTATTAGAGCATCTTTCATCACTTTGAAGTTGTCGGCTATTTTATTCATAAGTGTCTGGCGACATAAAACTGTTGTGCCAGGGGATAAAGTTTTAATCATCATAGTAAATGATGGATTATCAACCAAGGACAATGGCTGAACTGTGTCAATAATAAAATCAACAATTACTTTATCAGCCAATTTTTGTGAAATATTGGCATGTTTATTATCAGTTAATTTGGTTTGGATAGTATTTGTCTTTTTGAATAAAGATTCTCTTATACCAAAATTTTTTATATGTTTTTCTATTTCCTTATAGCAATTGGCGTGAACAGTCTAATAAAATAAATAATATTATAATGTAAAAATAACAATTTATCTTTAGGTGTTTCTTCAGGTTATAGCTAGGGATGTAAGACAGAGGAAATTTCCCATATTTCCCCTATAGTTTCCCCAATTTTTATAATAGGTTTTTTTGCCTAAATCAACATGATTTTAATAATATTAACAGTTTCCCAATTTTGAAAATGATCTTATGATAATATAAATACGATTTTTATTAGATTTTATAAAATCATTTTTTCCTCGTGGTTCATATCATAAATTATAATTGTGTTTTGTTTTTGAATTATGTAAATTTCCCTATTTACATTTGCAAAATTTTATAAGATACTTTTAAAATTAAATAGCTAGTCTGAAAAGTATATTTATATTATAAATAAATACCAATGAAATTTATAAATAATATATGAAATTTAAAGTTATGTTAATATAGAGAATATTTATAGTAATTTATTTCACAGTTTTTAAATTTAGTTGAAAATTTTTAGTATTAATTAATGTATTTACAGTCATCTTAGACAGTGAGTTTAAGAGGATTGAACATATAATCAATGAAAAATTAAGCAAAAGTAAAAATTTGACACTAATTAGTGATGGATGGACAAATATAAGAGGGGAATCCATTATCAACTTTATTCTAGCAACCCCCTGTCCCATTTTTTATAAATCGATTCACACAGGATCTAACATGCACACAGGTGAATATATATCAAACAAATTTATTAAAGTAATTGAAGAAGTAGGAATTTTAAAAATCAACACCATAATAACTGACAATGCAAGCAATATGAAAAAAGCATGGGCCCTTGTAAAACTGAAATACCCAACTATTGAATGCATTGGATGTGCCGCTCATGGATTAAATCTACTTGTAAAGGACATAGCAAATAAGATATTATCCATTCAAATTTTAGTCACAAAAGCTAAAAATATTTAAAATCTAACAATATTCTTTTATCAACGTTAAAAGAAAAACAACTCCTAAGAAATAATAATAAAATTGTTTCCCTAAAGTTGCCTAGCCCAACTCGTTGGGCAGGTATAGTTTTGATGATAAATAGCTTGTTAAAAAATAAAGATATTTTACAGGAAATGGCTATTCTTGATATATTTACTGATCGAGATAAGAGACTTACTCTTCTTGATAACGATGGGTTTTAAAATGATCTAATGCAACTATATAATTTTATTAAAGTCATATTTACGCAAATAGAGATAGTGGAAGGAGATAAAGCCAATTTATCTGATGTCCATCAAGCGTTTATTCATATCAGGGAGACATTTAACGCTTATAAAACAATATCAAATATATTGTCGCAGAGCGAGATTTTAGAAATAGAGCAGTTTATCAAAAGCCGAAAAAATTTTTGTTGTCGGGACATTCATTATGCTGCTCATATATTTGACCCAAGGTTTTGTGGATTTAATTTAAGAGACAATGAAATTGCAAAGGGGTTGGATATTATTAACCGATTTTCTGGATATCTAGATTTAGATATTGCAAGAGTAATAGGAAACCTATCCAAATATCGTGCAAGGGAAGATTTTTTTAATATAGCAAGTCTTTGGCAAGGCGCATCATTTACAGATCCAGTGAGTTGGTGGAAAGATTAAATACTTTTATATTTCTGTAAACAATAACTTAACTCTTTTTCTAATCTTAAAATTGTGTTATTCAATATTTTATTAGGTCTATGTTGCAATCAATACATATCGACCCTAGCCATACAAATTTTATCAATACCACCAACAAGTGCAACAACCGAAAGAATATGGTCCTCCTTTGAAAATATTCATTCTAAATCTAAAAATAGATTAAAAAATGACAAAGTTCGCAAATTAGTTTATATAAGAGCCAATCTACATTTTATGGGAAAGGAAATTTCAGAAAATGACAAATTGCTGGATTCCAGAATTTCAAACTCTGATCTGGAATCATTTTCATCGTCAAACGAAGATAATTAACTATTCAAAATTAATTGTTTAAATATTATTTAGTCTATATATAATATTTCAAATAAAACATGTAAAGTAATTGCAAATTAGTTGAAAATAATTTATATTTGTTTAATTATAATGTTTATAATCTATATATTTTCAAAAAAACATAAAAAAAAATCAATATTGACCTGTAAAGTATTATAAAAAAGATAGTTTCCCGTTTTTTCCCGTTATTTCCCGTTTTTTCCCCAAATTTCCCCGAAATATAGTTTCCCGGGAAATTTACCTAGTTATAGCTACTCGATTGATTTGATAATATATTTTTTTTACATTTTAAGCATAGGAATTTGAATCCAGATTTTGTTTTAATATTTATTTTAAAAAATTTTTCAAATCTAGGGAATAGGAAATCGTTATTAGAGCTATTAAGTACATTTTCTTCCATTGAATCTTCCATGTCTGAATCACTTTCAAGGATTTGGATATCCATGGGCGATGCCATTTTAGATTATTAACACAGATTGAAAATATAAATTAAAAATTGAAAATATATTTAAATTTCAAAATTAAATAATAAATGATAAAAATTATAATTAATTATGATATTATATTTAAATTACTTACATTCATTATATTTTTTAAAAGTAGCGCGCTAAAAAATTAAATAATTTTAAAAAAAGTAGCGGCTATTAGCTATAGCTACCAAAAAGATAGCGCACTAAGTAGCTCGCTACTTTAACAACTCTGGCCCTGCAAAAAAAAAATAATTTAAAAAAAATCAATCTTTTGGCGGATTATGTACTTACGAGAAAATGTTCTCCTCTAAAAAAAGTTAATTGAATTTATTTTCAAAAAAAGATTATATATATTTTTTTAAGAAATTTAATCTGAAAATATTAATCTTTTTTTTATAATATAAATTTTATATTTTTCTCTCATTTCTCAATGACCTATTATAGAGACGAATCAAAGAGATTCTCTAATGAATTATCATTGAATTTAGCTTCATTCTCAAATATAACCTCAAGGGAGAAAGTAGACAAATAAAATTTTAAATTAAAATGATTTTCAATTTATCCTCTACTGAAGGAGCAAAGGTGTGCTCACCGCATCTAATTTTATTATATCGACACGCCTGAAATGTATAACATTTGTTTAAAAACGTTTATTAGACCTCTTAGGGCTGAATCCTAATTTTATACTCCTATAAACGTAGTCTGAACTGTAAGCGTAATGGCACTATCGATTTCCTTCCTCTTATTATCCATAAATTTTTGTTTTTAAAACTTATTCTGATTAACAAATGCAATAAGTTTTGCCCGTAAATATGACTGCAAAAAGTTATTTATTCTTTATAAAA